GATGACCTCGGACAACACATTAACTATGCCCAGATCATATCATGTCGTAAATGTAGGATTTCGTTCGTATTAGAATTCTAATCATAATGGTAGGTACTAAAAATAATGTAGTTGATGCTGTCGGATACAAAAAAAAAAAAAAATGACAAGTCAAATAAAACAGAAAAGTTAAGAATATCTTGTTGAAATTTTCATAGAAAATTAAAGAATTATTTTTTTTGGAAAATTAAATTAATTATGTTGTATTTGCGATAAATGTTAGGGGTTTTTTTTATTTGAATTTATTACAGTTTTTTAAAAATTATCTTTATTGTCCGAAATGAACCATTGTAATTATAACATCGGTTTTTAATGAAATCTCATACGTGTTTTATATTTTCTTCATAGAGACATTGTAACGGACGTGCATATTGCAATAAAATTAAAATACGTAATTAGCAATCCGAAATTGTAAAAAATTGTTACATCAATAAAGGTTTTGTCAAACTACTTCGTTATACTGCTTGGACCATAATGCATTTAATTTTCTTTATATTATCGTGTTTCGATGTACCTATGGCGAGTTGACTGAACCCATTTTTTTGTCATGAATGAATAATGGAAATCAAGTAGTAAACATGTTATCAGAACCACACCGCTTCAGAATGATAACGTTTCAGCGTTTCTTGTCGTTGCGCAACGGTACGAACCAAGGTGTGGCCATATCATTCTAAAAGTGAAGCGAAAACGGGGTACTTGCAGTGTTACCATCATATGAAAAATAAATTGTTGTAAATATACTAACATTATTTTATTTTGAATAATAAAAATTAATTTTAAAATAAGAACAAATTTTACAAAAAAATATATGTACCTACTATTGGTTCTTATTATAATATAATAATATTATATTATAATGATAATATTTATGCAGTACAAATAATAATAGTATAATAACAAACTGCACTTATTATAATATACAAATGTAGAATAATATTATATTAAAATAATGATAATATTTATGCAGTACAAATAATAATAGTATAATAACAAACTGCACTTATTATAATATACAAATGTAGAATAATATTATATTAAAATAATGATAATATTTATGCAGTACAAATAATAATAGTATAATAACAAACTGCACTTATTATAATATACAAATGTAGAATAATATTATATTAAAATAATGATAATATTTATGCAGTACAAATAATAATAGTATAATAACAAACTGCACTTATTATAATATACAAATGTAGAATAATATTATATTAAAATAATGATAATATTTATGCAGTACAAATAATAATAGTATAATAACAAACTGCACTTATTATAATATACAAATGTAGAATAATATTATATTAAAATAATGATAATATTTATGCAGTACAAATAATAATAGTATAATAACAAACTGCACTTATTATAATATACAAATGTAGAATAATATTATATTAAAATAATGATAATATTTATGGCTTATGCAGTACAAATAATAATAATATAATAACTAACTGCACTTATTAAAATATACAAATGTAGAATAATATTATATTATAATGATAATATTTATACAGTAGAAATAATAAAATAATAAAAAACTATGCAATGTTAAATGTACACTACTGGCCTTTAAAAAGGATCATTTTGTTGTACCAGTTTCTAAGTGAAATATTTTCGGAGCTCTTTTTGCACGTATATTTAGTTTTTAAATCAAAATATTTTGATATTATAGATTTAATTAAAAGGGTTACATGATTACTCATACAATCATTATCAAAATTATGAAATTGTATATCATTAAATACAGAAGTATTATTTATAAAAAAATTTAGAGTTTTGGTTTGAATAAATAATTTATGCATAGGTTTATTAGACTGGTGTTGAAAAGATCTCATAATTTTTTCAGTTTTTGTACAAATAAAAATAACACTATCACTTGGATATGACAAACCACCAACATCTTTAAGATGAATTAAAGAACCTAAAAAGTTATCTTTGACACCAAAAAGAGCACCTACACAAATCTCACATTTAATTTTGAATGAAAGATGACGAGAAACAAAACCAGCAATATAAATTATAACTTCTGTACAAAAGTCATTGAGAGTATTATTTACAATGTAATCATGGTCATTTATAGTTAAAGTTTCAGGTTCAAGCTCAATGTCTTTATATAAAGTTAAATATGTACTATTAATTAAGTCTTCAGGTTCTTTATTTTTTATGCTAGAACAATTTAAAATCGAAATATTATCAAGTGGAATACAGTTACCAAGAGCACTATTTTTAATTTCTGCATGCATTATTAATTTTTTATAAGTGGCACGAAATTGTCTTGCAGTGGGATTGTTATTTAAACCACCATGAGATCTTATAGAACCAAATAAAAGTTCCAAGTGGTCTTGGCTGAATTTATAAAAACATAAAAATTTTAATTTTTTTGATTTTAAAAGAGTTTCATATAACGTCTTTAATGATTCAAAACAAATTAAAAAACCTAAAAATCCAGTTTTTCTTGGAGATTCAATGACAAGTTGACCGTTTGGAAATTTTAAACCTTTAATATATGTACTAATTTCATCAATACAATTTTTTATTTCTTCAAAATTCCGGTCACACAGGGCAGATTTAAAACCATAATCATTGTATTTTCTTGAGTTAAGTATATCAAAAGCATTATTGAATATTTGGATAAATTCAATAGTAGCATTACAATTTTGAAAAGCCTCTAGTTTTAAAGTATTTTGACAAAAAGATAAAGCGTCAGCTACAGACTTACTTAAAAGCTGTGTTGCTAGCTTAACTTTCATTTTTTGGCGAAAGAAAAAAACATGATTTTTTTTCAGTTTGTTACCTAAATGAAATCCTTCATTTTCTTGGAGAGTTAAGAGTTCTTTAATAAATTTGAAATTTATTTGTTCATTATTACTATTTAATAAAAGTTGTTTTTCACCAAAAGTATTTCGAACCAACTTTATCATATGTGCCGGGTCTGGTAAAATTACAACAGGTTCATTTGAATTATTAACACTAAAATCGGTTTTTAAATTTTTTAAATTTAAATCACAACCTAATATTTTAGACATAGTTAAATTAGTAGGGCACCCATCGAAAGTCAAACTAACAATATTCACTTTTGTTTTTTGTAGGAGATTTAATGCTTGTTTGACCAGCTCAGCTTTTTGTACACTACTAAGATGATTGCATAAAAAGTAACCTATAGGAAGCTTCCACGATTCATTAATGCAAACTACCATAAATACAAGACATTCAGTAGCTACTTCCATAGTATCTGTTTCAACAGTTTTCCCAATATTTACATAACCATGATACTTGAAACCGTCCCACTCAACATGCTGCCTTATAGCTACTTCATCTATCATCAAAGCACAATATATAGGTTTATCATTTTTAAGCGTAAGCAAATCAAGCGATTCCTGCGTAAAACCTGGCTCTGCATCCATATGACAGTACCATTTACCAAGCGTGCGTGGATGAGGCAACACACAATTAAATTCATTTCGAACAAACTCGTATGCTTTAGGTGAATAAAAGTTGAGTGTTAAAGCAAATTTTCGCAGATCTACACTATATTTTCTAGAAACAGCTTTGCCTTTGTTTTTATTTGCCAAATTCATAATCAAATCTTTATTCTTACCTGCAATAATTAAGGCAGACCATAGAGTAATAAAACTAGGCAGACAAATTAAACATCATTATAAATGTGAAGAAAGTCTGCATTCACTGCTGTTAAAAATTACCAAAACTATCCATGAGTATTTCTACTGAGTCTTCATTAAGTAAATTGTTCTTTTTCAAAACAGTAACAACTTGTTTTAATGAACTAATTTTCTTTTTTTGTCGGCTAATTTTTTGATGAAGAACTTTAATTTTTTTTGATTTTAATTCATTGGTGATTGATAAATTAAACAAAGCTTTTTTTAGGCGCATTTTTCTTGGTGTATCATCATCAGTAGATTTGCTCATATCAAAATATGATCTTTTAGAATTGTGCTTAAACAGAGATGTAATAATAGTTAATAAAATAATAACTAAGTACCTAATATACTGCCAACCCTTGTTTATACATACAGGTGTAATAGTATTTTCTGGTGAACTGATTTTCTTTTCACCAAGAACAGGTTTGATTTCTTGAACAGTAATTTTAGCAATATCTTCAAATGTACCCTCATCAAGTTGCATACTTGATATATCTGAAGATTGCTACAGCAAAAATGTATGTTATTCATATTTCTTCCAATTATATAAAGATGTAATAGACCATATACTGGTGTTAATATACTTACAGGTGTAATATTTTCATGTGAATTAGTCTCATTTACACAAGATACAAACTCTTCAGGATAAACATTTTTGGCCTAAATTAAGATGTATATAAAAAATTAACAAATATAATTTATATAGGTAACATTTTTTGTAAAACTTACACTTTTCACTCTTTTAATATAAATTGAAGGAATAGCAAAAGGCTTCAATCGTATGCTTCTAGCATATTTATCAAAACAATGTGCATCAAAATGTAAAGAACAAACAACAGATTTTGGTTTGATTGAACCAGCATTAATGTTGCACTTGTTCTGGATAAAACTTATCCACTCTTCTCTGACATTACTCTGTGGAATTCTAAAAAAATAAAATATTTTTATCATGCTTATATAGGTATATAAACTATAAAGACATAAAAATATCATACATAGTAAACAAATTAAACTAACCGGTGAAATGTAATATTTTGGTTTTCTTTTTTTTGTTTCTGAGTCCGAGCGCACAAAATACAGCTGACCATGATTTTAGGCTCAGACTCGCGTTACTTACAATTTTACAAAATTACAGTTAAAAATTATAATTATAATTAAAATTATAATTATTAATTTTTAATGCAAATATTGCTAATCAAACATAAATCATTTATCATCAGTTATCACCATAGAGCAGGGTTCACCAATTAATATTTGCCACATTAAGAATTTGGAAAATTCTCGAGGGCCATAAAAATTCAAAGTACATAATATTTATTATAATATGCCGGTTGGTCAAAAATACTTTATTTCTAAAAAAAAATATATACACTTATTAATTATTATGTAACTAAAACCAATGAAAATATAATTAAATTAAATAAATATATGAAACAATTATTAATTAATATTTTTAATGAGAAAAATGGCAGATCTTGCTTTCAACTAGCTGCTTTAAGTCGGGGTTGTAGTTTGTGGTAGCTATCTTCATCATCATTTTAAGGTGTTCGTTGGCGAGTTTGTTTTTGATATAATTCATTTTTGAAAAAGCAGACTCACAGACGTATGTGGAGCCAAACATTGTACACATTTTCACTGTCAATAATTTCAACGTCGGGTACTCGGGTATTTCTTTTCAGATACATATTTCAACCAAAATTCATCATAATATGTAGAATCAATTTCAGTTTTTGAATACTTTTCATTATACACATTTTTTAGGACACCATCTGATTGAAATTCAATTATTTCAATTTGAAGATGTACTCTGTTGCATTTGAAAATATTTTCTACTTCGTTAATCCATTCACCATAATAAGTACGTATTAAATTATTCAAATTATTGGATTTTTCGCTCAGTCTGGGTGGCCGGTTAAAATGCATTCGCGGGCCGGTAATAAAAATAAATATAATGTCGATTATTAATTTAATTTCATGGTCAAAAACGCCATCTAGTGTTCACTAGAGTTGTAAGAGGGGTACAATGGCGTTCAATTTTGCTTCGATCTGATAATCATAATATCTGCCTAATGCCGCCTCTATAGTTTTATTACTCTATGGTACGAACCGATAGAATTAAGAAACACAACAATCTCTGTTATCTATTTACTCATATCACACTCTCGCTGTGCCGTATCAACAATTTAAGATGACTATTAAAATATTTAATTTTCGTTACTTAAATTGTTCGCTTATAATTGTATTATAAATTATAATAATATTATACTGAAACGGAACATGTATCTATTCGGAACACGGGTTATAGGTTTATGAGTTTTTTGTAGAACGTTTTTGTAGAAAGTTCCAGTTGACGAGTTGTGACGTCTATCACTCATAGCGAAACAGAGATGGACGACTCAAAGCCTTCCGACGATGTAGAAGTCAAGAATCGCAAGTCCGGACTGACTTTAGAGCCAATCATGTTGTTAATGTGTCTCGGAATAAACGCAAACCGTGAGTACTTATAAGTTGTTTTTTCTCCTTGTGAGTTATGACTTGGGTTGTGAATCGAATGCACGGTATAGCCTTAAAAATATTAAATCAACAATTGCGTACTAAAAGTTAAAAGATGTAAAAAAAATCAGAAATGCTAAATAAAAGTTTCAAAATTGAAATCGTCGTTACCTAATTCACACTCTGTTCTTTTCTGATTATTTTGAAAAATTCTGTACAATTTTACGTTTGTCCCCTAAATTACCCACTAAATCCAAATTTTTTTCCAGAAACCTCACTTAAAGTTTAAAATCTAAACACTTGAAAAAAAACACACGTAAGATCAATAGATTTATAATTCATTGGTCCGGTTTGACACCAAAATACTAGATAAAAATGAAATACCCGTGAAATTGCTCTGCTGTATGGCTAGTTTATTTTGAGTGTACTTCATCGTCATTTTAATGGATTACATTTTGAAAAAAACAAATCACTTTTATTTTTAACAATTAAAGCCAATACCTTTGACGTATCATGTAGAATGTTATAAATATATTATATATGTTTGTCCTTTAAATAATATATTATAATAATAATTAATTTAAATATTTTCAATATTTCATCGTTTATAAAAACAATAGTATACATAGTAGTAGTAAATGGTTTTAAGTCCTTAGATTAATTTTTTGAATAGGAAACCTTATTTTATGTTTGAATAACCAATTTTAATAAATTGTGAATTTTAATTATTTATAAAAAAAAATTAAAAAATGTATTTTCGTTTTTTTTTGATATATTTAGATTTCTTTAAGTGTAACTTTAACCCCAAGTTATTATTATTGAAAACCTTCGCTAAACTAATATTTTATTTTCAAGCTTTTGTCCAATTTGTCATAATTTTTTATAGTATAAAGCTAAAAAATTCAAAAATCTCAAATGCATATATAGTTCAAATAGGTAGGTTACAATTAAAAGAAATACTTTGAACATTGTAAAAATAGTTATAATATTTATACAAAATATTACTACAAAAGTTTCAAGTAGGTACCTAAATTAATATTTTCAATAACCTAAGAACTAAATTCATAATTTTTTATTTCGTACAAAGTTGAACTAAAGTAAAAAAATTAAAATAAAAATAACTTTTGACTTTTGGAAAATCAGTAATCACACCACTGATATGAATTTGCTACCTATTCCTACTTTAATTTATACCACTTATGGCCTACATCTTATTCAACCTATAACCGCTATTGGTATAACATTTGTATTTATTATTTATTTTTTAATTTAATATAATATTGGTTTCAGTGATGGTGCAGACTAATCTATTTGAAGAACGTGTATGCCTTCATAGTGATCTCGGACAAAATAAGTCTGTGAATTGTTACAATATGACTGCAGCAGATCTGGAAATAGTTCAGCCGGCTGTGGCAGATTTACAGATGATTAAAAATCTGATCGAGACATTGGTGCCTTGTATAACTTCATTGTTTTTAGGCCCCTGGAGTGATGTAAACGGTCGCTTGCCTTTGTTATTAACAGCAATCTCAGGTGAGAAATAATCTCTATTTAGGTGCACGTACTTAAGAGGACGCTACACAGCCATTTTTAACATCGAAGTGTTGGAGAACAAGTTTAGTTACGTCAGTTTCAAAATTAGAGTGAATTGACCTATTATGAAACTTAATGGCAAGTACATCATCTGTGTTTGTATGAGAGTTTTTTTACGATAATTCAGTTTTTCAGTAAATTCTGTTTTATCATATAGCATAATTTAAAATGCTCACTTAAAAAGTGAATTATCGTAAGAAAAACCACATGCACAAGTTTCATAATAGGTTGATTCACTCTAATTAAAAAAAAAAACTGAGTTAAACGTGACCTGCTGAGAGTAAATTTGATATGTTATGCAATTGTAAGACGGGGACAACAAATATCTGTGAAGCATCCTCTTAAATAATAATATGTACCTAATATAATATATTGTACGATTGCTTAAAATTTAAGGTATGGTAATTTCTAACTGTATGTACAGTGCATTTTCTACGATACCAAGTCTGTCTCCAATAATGTTTTTGCTGTGCAGCATACCTGTTGCTGTAAGTGGTGGCTATGGTGCATTGTTTATGGCTGCATCATGTTATATTGTTGACATCACCGATTGCAAATCAAGAGCTTTCAGGTAATGAATTTAAAAATATATTATTTATTTATTTGAATTATATAGGTTCATAATGTTATTTACATGTATAATGACTAATAAGTATTAAATTCACTGTGTTTCAAGTATGAATTATTACATTGTATACAGTATTATGTGTGCAGATATTTTTTGTGCACACATCATGTTATGACCAAATTTTTGCATTGTATGTTATAGAAATTGGTAAATTGTTCATCAAATGTATCAACAAATTTAGTTTAAATGTGTTAAAATCATCGACTTAATCTTGCTGTTGCAATTAAAATAGTATTACATTGTAACTGTTTAGTGTTCTGTGTGTCCCAAGGCAAAGTATAATGAAAATATAACTAAAGTTGTGTAAAATAAATTCTTTTAAAAAGGGGGAGGGGTTGTAACTTTTTTTATTGTTCAAACTGAACCTACCGCACATTTTTTGGTGTCAAATCTATTCAACCATTTCTATTTTATTGATGTGACTCTGGCTTTTCACTTTGCCCCAGGACATATTGTTTAATATACTACCTAACTTTATAACTACAATTTTTCTAATTTAATCATTACTTAATCATTTATTTTTGTCTGCATAGGTTAGGGGTGTTATTTGCATTTGTCAGCTTTGGCTCAATTCTTGGATCTGTACTGAGTTCAATATTGTATGGTAAATCTACTACTTATTCTTTTTGCCTATCATCTTTTGTTTCCATTGTTGGACTTCTTTATACGTATATTTTTCTAAAGGAAACAATAGTCGTCAAAAAGGTATTCATTTTGTTCATGTATTAAATTTATTTTAAGAATTTTTAATAATAATTACATGAACATAATATCATATTGTGCTAAATGTCTAGATTTAATTGTATATAAATTGCTAATTATATGTACCTTGATCTAAAATAGGGAGACCATTCGTAATTTTTGGTTTATATGGGGCATTTATTGCAGCTTTATGTCCTGTTGTCCTGACAAACTTCTTTCAGGACGCTCTTTATCCTCTTTATATATCAATTCCAATTATTCTGTAATATTTCTTACTAATATTATATGCATATTTTATTTTCTACTTTGAATTTCTGTACAAAAATATTATATTATTGATGATATCAATTATATTCAAGAAAAATAATATTCACAAATATCTTTATCAGTGAGAATACTATATATAATATAATATTTGTTTATTTATCTATATTATTTAATAATATAATGTTTCATGCAGCTCTATGTAATATCTATACACATATAAACTAATGGAGAGCGTATTCCATTCCGCCCTGCCTTCAATTCTAATTGATCATATAATCATATAACTGAGGGAGAAAGAACATAAAGTAGTGAAGGAGCCCGCATAAGAAACTTTATAAATTGTACTACTTTGTTTATTTTCTCGCTCACTCTATATGTACCCCAGACTTCTCTCTCCAAGCATTGTCCATTAGTTTATATGTCTATAGTAATATATATCATTTATCTTGTTACACTATTTTCGTTTATGAGGATAGAGTGCATTATACATTTAATAGTTATAATTATAATCATCTATAAAATCTGTAATAGTCTTTAATTACTTTCCCTAAGAAGTAACCACTACCAATACAAAACAACCGACCCAGATCCAACTGGTAAACATACAACAAGTAGGATTCAGCCAATGTGGCATTGTGTTTCTATATGAGCCGGTTAAACTGCTTACATAAGCATTTGTTTATTTAACATTCCGTGAGATTTGAGAGGCTCAAAAATCAAATGTAAATTATAGATAGCAATCTTGTAATATTAATAGACTTAATAAACAAATGCTGATGAAATATTTTGAAAACACGAGAGGAAAACTCGGCTTCCCATGAATTATAATTATATGCTACAAATATTTTCTAATTTTGTTTCTTTATTTTTATACAGGGTGAGGATACAAAACTTTTCAATATTAAACTGGTAAAAGATATGTGGCAAACTGTTACAAAACAACGATTTGGCTATTTAAGATCCATAATTATACTATCTGCAGTGTTATTAACTCTCAATTTAATCGTTTTATTTGGTAAGTATACAGGATGATTTTTTAAGCCTGTTTTCCCAATTTTTATGTTTAAATAATGTTTAAATAATGTATATTATGTTCATAATATTGGTATTTTAGAATTTTTAAATTAAGTTAAGAACAATATTTTCGAATACTTATACTTTTTACAACAGTTGTTTTTTTTTGGTGGTACAACTTTGGCTTTAAAATAAGAACCTACAAGTTTTAATGCAAAATGTAAATTAAATGATTTTTCTAAAAATGTTGATGTTTCAACTAAGTAACAATTATTAACAAAATATATTTTATATTGCACACTTAACTATAATCACTGAGCTCATATAAATTTACTACTTAACCTCCTAGATGTCGCGCCTATGAAAATCTCGTTGGCAGTCGCGCCGCGGAGTTAACACCGCTATTTTATTTCTTTATTTTTAGTGTAGATTTTTAGTTCTTATCTAGTTGTTATCTTATATTTTGCATAATACACGTAAGGAATAATTTACAATGACATTTACAAGCAATTAAATTTATCAAATAACTTTATTTTAACATAATATTGTGCATATTAAAAAATAATTATTAATTATTAATTAACTATTGCATTATGTTTAAAAATACATGGTGTAGGAATAGCAGGGGGTCATACTAATCTTATCGATAAGTATAATTAAATAAAATGGTTTTTCCCAATGGTGCGGTGTAAACACCGCTAGCGCGACCGCTAGGAGGTTAATTGACAATTATACTTAGTATTTAAAATAGAATAACTAGGAAATTTTCATTCAAATTTTGATTACAATACGTCAACATTTTCAGAAAAATCATCTGATTTACAATTCGTATTAAGTGGACGCTACACCCGTATGTGTTTTCTCTGTCTTACAATTGTAAAACAGCAAAAAACTGTTTTGCACGGGAAAGAACCGAGAAGACTACAGTCATAACTAAGAAACAAAATTTTCACCACATAAAAAGGAGAACTTAGGCTGTGTAACGTTGTTTTTATTTTTTTGATACCACTTATATGAAAAAAGATCTTACTGTTTCAATAACCAATATTGTTTGTGTTTTTTAAATTTGAAAAATTTTTTCATATGAATGATATCAAAAAAATCAAAGTTCTCCTTTTTATGTGGTGGAAATCTGGTTTCTTAGTTATGACTATAGCCTTTTCGGTTCTTTCCCGCACAAAAGAGTTTTTTTATGTTGTAAATTTGTAAGACAGAGACTACATATTATGCGGGTGTAGCGTCCTCTTAAAATATATACCCAGGTTCACATTTAAAACTAAGGTGAAGTGTTGTAAAAAATTAAAGTATTCAAAAATATCTTTCATACTACAGTTAAAAATTCAACTGCAAAAATCAGAATTTTAACTATGCATAATCTAAACAATAATTGGGCGAGCATGCTTCAACAATCACCATGCACAAACAAGTTGCTAGTTGGCCCATGATATAGCCAGCTGGCAGCTATATATTTTAAACTTGAATCATATACAAAAATATAATAAAACAATATTATCAATCAAATCTGACATTCCTACCTAAATTCAATGTATTTATAATAATAATTGCGTTTTTATTTTAGGAGAAGCTTCCTTCATATACATGTACCTACAGAAACAATTTTTGTGGACGTTGGAAAACTATACACCATTTCTTGTATACACGACACTGATACACGGTTAGGAGATGAAACACTTTCACAAAATGATGTGATTGATTATCCCTACCTACTGCAATCGTTTATCGATATTATTTCAGCCACCATTCCTGTGATCGGTCTGTACGTTTTGAACACCAAACTACAATTGCCTGAAATGTATATCGGCACTGCTTTTGCAGCGCTGGGAATTTTTGAAAAGGTTGGTTTGGCGTACTCAGTGCACCCGTGGCAATTTTATGCCATGAAAACTGTCGGATACACAGTGTACATCAGTCAATCGTTGGTTCGGTCTCAATTATCCAAGAGTCTTCCGTCTGAAGATATATGTAAATATAATTTGCTACTTTGGTACCTTTTTAATAAAGACAGCCCCTAGTGGTTTGAGGGTTAACATTTAGGCAATTTCTTATCTCGTGATCTTTGTAAGGTATTGAAAAGATTAAAATATAATTGAATTAAATTAAACCTTAAAATACAAAAAAAATTAAAGATAATTAAAGTATAGGAAACAAAATTTCTTTACCTGTGTACTTTTCCAAAAGCTATTGAAAATATATGTTATTCATTTTATGTAACGGTATATTTCTCATCATTAACACGCATAGTTGAAACAAACAATTTGCCTTTTGATACTAATGTTTCTATAGGTAATTTATAGATAATTTATTGTTGATCTTTTGAATTTATGTTATTGGTTTTGCTATATACTATTATTATTTTTATAATTGAGTGTTTATTTCAAAAAATAATGAACCTCACTGAGCCTACTATGCTCTTCAGTGTTTATCAGTTTTGAGATGTTGCATAACACTTTATTGTCTGTCTACATTCTACATACTTGCACTTCATATTTCATACATCTTACATAATAAAATATTGCCAGCAGAAGAAAAAATAGTACCACAGAATTCAGACAATTAATTTCTTAAAACAACTGAGTCAAACTGCTTGTTTTTCAGCATTTTATTTGACAGTACCGGCTGTCATTAAATATTAACAAATGCAAATTTGTGCGCTTTTGTTTAATCAAAATCCTATCAATTATAACTACTCTTTTTCCAATTTAAATATTAAATTATTGACAAGGACTTTGGCATAATTTTTGATTCAAAAATAACTTTGTCAGCTCATACTGAAATGATAAAAAAAAACAAGGCAATGCGCAACCGCAAATTTCCTTAAACGAACTTGTGGTTCATTCAGGGATTATTTATCTCTAAAAATTGTATTTTATACCCTTGTTTGTTCTAACTTGGAATATTGTCCGTTAATTTGGACCAGTAATACTTCAAAGCAAATTTAATTTATTGAATCAGTTCAGTACAACATTTATAGACCTCCCCATGATTTATACGAATTAGTGTTAAAATTTACTAATCTCCTTCCGCTTAAAGATAGATGAACTTTATTATGATAAACATTTTTACATAACTTGCTTATAAGAAAGATTGTTTGCCAAGAATTCTTTTCCCTTATTTGTTTAAAAAAAACTTCAATAACACTAGAAATAGAGTATTTTATCCCATCCCTTATAAAATACATACATCTTTTCTTAGTTGCTATTTACCTATAAGTTATTCTTTATTTTTATCTGTAGCTACGATCTTAATATGTATCTTAGCTAATTCTATTATATTTATATTTATTTATATATAATGGGAGATAAATTTGTTCTGCTGAGCGTATAATTTACTATGTTACGGACCTGTAAAACGGAGACAACAAATGTCACTGTAACGTCCCCTTAAACAAAACACATTTTAAGCTCACTTAGTAATGATAGTATAAGTATCTCAAAGAAAATCAAGTGTAATAACTCCTGTGTTCTAATTATTAGTGTGAGTGTGATTAAATATATGTTTGGTCTGTAATGACCAATAAAAAAAATTTGGTAATATAATAAAAATTATTATTATTATTCTAATATTTATATTATATAAATCATTTAGGAATCTTCACGAGGGCACTTTGTACGGTCGGGTAAAAATAAAGATTGCAGAACATGAACTCTTTGTAGTTTGTCATGACCATTTATATTAAAAATGTATTAATTGTTTAAATATCTAATTTGGTAGTAAAATTATAATTTATAAATATATTATAGCACCACCAAGTAATTTTTGGTGGACACTTTACCTGTGAATTAAAAAAACCTTAATTATTTAATTTATTTATATCATAAACATTTTTAATATTAATTTTTTTATAACTAGTAATGCACTCACACTAATGATCATTTACTACGCAATCAATCACCCAGCTCGTGTGTACGTATTGTCCATATTTAACCCTTTAAAAATTAAGCCATACAATTATAATTTTAAGTATAATAGACAACAAAATAATGTATTAACATTGAACCTGTAAATTAAAAAAAAGTAAATTTTAAGCAATGGACTGTTTAGCATCTTATAGTTGAGACCAGGAGGCAATTTCTATTAAAATGATTGACCTTTTTAACTTTGGTGGCATTTTTACTTGTATACTTATATGCACCTGTCTATGCGGGTTACAATCCTTAAGCACGCACTTAGAAAATAGCTTATTTTGAACACTTCTTAGTTATAACTATAATTATTATTGTTATAAGTTAGAAGACTAAAATTTGTATTCTGCCGTAATTACAATGTTGTTATGATTTCAGGTAAAATATTTGCATTCTTAAGTGTGATCGAAAATTTTGGAGTATTACTCTACTCACCAATGTACACTGCGGTCTACGTTACAACAATCCACGATTTCGCAAATTGTTTCTTTTTCTTATCGGCAATACTTGGAACATTGGTATTTGTTTTATTTGGGTAAGTTCAATAATTGTCTATTTAATCAACTCAGTTAAATGAAAACGTTTATTTATTTATCCATGTAATATAATAAAAAATTAATATGCAGCGTATACTTGGTGATTCATTAAAATAAAACACTCATTATTTTAGAAAATACTAACATTTTAATTATAATAAACAGTATTTCTGGGAACTGACTTACGCTGCTCTCTGTATTTTAAACACAGACTTGGGCATATTTATATTTTAAAATCCAATACTTTCATAGTTTCATGTCAATACTTTTCAAAATCCAAGAAAAACGATTCCATTACATATTTCAGATTGTTATTTATTAGTGATTTTATTCTTTTATTTACAGTTAAAATCAAATTATTAAACATTTATTTGTTTTATATTTTATTAACAACTGTTTATTGTTTAATTCATATTAAGTATTTCAGAATTAAAATATAACAATTATTTGATAATTACTTATATTACAAAAAATTTTCTTACCTACTTGTACAATTAAATAAGCAAGGTTAAGTGTATTATACTATTATTATTATACATTTATTACATTCTATAATACATACCAAATATTTGTTCTACATTACATTTTCTTAAAACTATTAGAAATATTTTTTAAGTAATTTCTGAATAGATATAGTAAACAGTTTTTAATTTTTTTTTTTTTTTACAAGACCGAGAGTCGATGTATGCAGATCTTGTTCCTATTTCAATTTGAACTAGGACAAATTAATTAATAAACTTATATTTTACTCAATTGCTTATCCCCCTCTCTTGATTAGTTTATAAAATTACTATGTAACTATGTATAAAATAACACAGTGTTTTATTTTTAAAATAAATTCTGCATAAAATATAATAGAGTTTGAATGTTATTATGTTATTATCAATTTAATAAACTGTTTACTTATTTTCAGAACTATATCATTCTTACTTTCAAGAAGCACCATCACTGATGATATGTTAGTTGAAAACCAATTTTAACCAGCGCAACAGCCAACAACAAGCCTAATATTATAGGGGAGAATTAAAATAATCCATGGGTAACTTTCTTGCATGAATTAAATGTTAATATTGTACACAACTCACAACTTATGATATTGTGAAAAAACGTAATTAATTGACTTAGTCTATTAGTAGATGAAAATTATAACATAATATATAGTCATACGTAATATAATATCACATATTTTATATAATAAACTTATTATTTTTAGTACTCGTTATTCTTTTAAACTTTTTCATAAAAAATAGTTTTAGAGTTATATGCTAATGTACATAATATGTTAACTACTGAACAGACCTGTGCTTATACATGTTATAAATTGTTATATTAAGCAAACAAAACCATTAAATTGGAAAATGTTTAATATACATTTATTTTCTACACAATATGAACGTTTATATTGTAATTGTTGCCGCTGTCAGCTCTTATTAATATAAAATAAGTTGTGCCTTCACGACTGAATCATATATATATATGCTTGTAGAATATAAAATGAAAAAAACAATGTGTGTTGGCAGTTCTGTAATTTTTTATTGAGCAATGATAATAATAATTTGTTTTTCTTTTAACTAAATAAATAAAATAATAAATTGCCAGGCAGGATTCTAATAATTAAGTATGATATAAATATAATATGTAGCCTCTTGGCTTTTAACAATAATACAATAATGAAAATAATACAAATAATAATAATACAAAGTTTCTGACTAGAATATGAATGACTAATATAATAAATAATAATATGCAGCTCGTCAGCTGATTACCTTTAGAACTCAGACGAATAAATCACAGTGTACATGCAAATCACAAATGGCAAAAATTCACGTGCTTCTGTAAGTATCTCTTTGAACGCCCTGAATTGGGGAATAATATTAATGAAAGAACTAAAACAAATGACTGAACGATACTTACAGAAGGCAATTCACAGATGATGTACACAAAATGATTAACTGAATGATGATTGATGAATGTATTGTATAGAATGAAATTGAATGTCTATGACTCTATGTATTCTATTTTAAAAAATGAATTAAAATACTGACGACTGACTGAACACAGAACAACCGTGCACCTCGGAGGTCGTGTGAAAAAGGGACGAGTTTTACATTAACGGACATACAAAATGCAACGAGAACTGTACGAATGGGCTTTCAGTGTCACCACACTAAAACAATTAAACATGAAAAAACTAATAACTTTGTGACACTGAAAGCATGACTTGACGAGAAAAAACTTTGAACGAATAATATGACTTTTGAAAACATAAATTGATAACGGTCACGCAGCTGGCCGTTCGCACACGGAAACATGATAAGAATTTATTTGATTACGGCTGCAGCTGCGGACCGCACCGTTGCATGCACATGAATAAAAAGATAACAGAAAACAAAATGAAAATGACAATCTTAAACATGAACAGTAATATTAATTTGTATCATATCATATTATATATTTGTAAAGTATAAATTATTATACTTTTTTAAAAATTTCTATGACGTGATGAGTTGAAATATACTCTAATTGTGGTAATTTTAAAGCTAATAGCCTAAGAAAATTGAACTTCTTTAGGGTAATTAAAAATTATATAACAATGATTAATACAATATATATGTTTAAACATTTGTTAGATAAATAAAAATAAAACTTAACAACATAATTTTTGCAAAATAGATTTCCCTCTGATAAGATGATAAGGTAAACATTTTTTTCCCTAATCGTACAGTGAAATATTTAATAAAAATTTTACAAATAATGATTTTTACCAATAATACTCCAGCAAATTGTTGAGAGAAATACTTTACACCTGTAACTAATACCTTCAATTTTGATCCTGTAAGTGAAAGAAAGTTGCACTTATTATAGTAAAAAATCATTTTCTCTAAGATGAGTAGAAGAGACCACTGAAAATAGGAAGTTTTAAACCAAATTTTAGATTGATGTTAAGAAAAATAAATATTTTTTACAGATATTGCTTAGTTTTAGGTGTTCTAGCCTTAATTCCTAACTAAGCAGATTTGAGTTTACCATTATACAGTACAATATTTTTTGATCGGAAATCACTGTCTCTAAATTATATTGCTAGATACAAAATATACAATTTTTTCATAACTTATTTCTTTATTGCCATCTTGATAACTAGTTTATGTTTGTGTTTAATGATTTGAACTCTGCTTAATTAGTTCCATTTGATCAATTAAATGATACATAGGCATACAACACCTATGTAAATATTAAAAAGATTATTAATAAACGATAATTTAATTGGTAAAAAAAAAATACAAGCTACATAAATATCATGAATATACAATAGTATTATCACAATGAATATCTTAATATTTTATAACTATTTATAACTGTATTTATTACAGTAGGTACCTACTTAGAATTCAATAAATCAGCATAGATACGACATTGATATCTTTTTAGTTTTCAATTTATGTATGTATTACATATGCAGTAAGTATATTTGTGACTTGTGTTATAGTAAATTTGTTTCGGATTAAACAATATAACTATTTATATGAAATAATGATTCCTAATGTATCGATAATTCATAACATATAATTATTTATTTGCATAGTTCATTCAAATACTGTTTGTTTGTATGATTGTATATAATATACCTATATTGTATGTTTCATAAGTTGACCTGTACAGTCTAAATTACTGAGAAGTGAATAATAAATATTGGTGTGAAACTGTTATGTGAATTAAATACGTTTAATAAATTTAGTACAAGGCTCCTAATATAATGCGACAATGGCAGTTGAAAAATGCCTATTCAAAATACAGTTACAATTTTTTTGTTTTATAAATGACTATATCGTGCGTGTGCAAGATGGAGACAAAACACATATATGGATAGCATCCTTTTAATATCATAATATGCCTTGTTTATACAGGGTGTAACAGAAAGATATGACAAAATCGATTTTTGTTTTTGGTTAAACTCTAAAACAAATGAACATATATACATGAAATTTTCACTGGTAGTTTATATTTGCATTTTCTATCCACGATAAAATTTTCAAAACATTTTGATTTGTTTTGAACTGTTTAGGAACATTTCCAGTTTATGTATATGTCATATCTTTCTGTTACACTCTGTATATAAATGACTATACTATTCAATACAAAATGTAAACTATACAAAAAACATATTGTATATACCTACCTATGATATATTATGAACTAATAAATGCAAATACATATCAATATAATATTAGTTGTCAGGTGAACTTATTGGTTGAGGTAATCAAATAGCCACTTTCTTATTTTGGTAATTAATAATTTAATGTAGCATACAAATACTGCTACAGTTACTATATAATATATATTAATAAATAAAAAGATCTTTATATAGGTATTTAAGTAAAGTTTGTAGGTAGTAAAATTATATAATATTTTTTATACTATTTGATATTACTTACATAAATAGTTGTACAGTGTATATTTATTTAATTATGAGAATTAAATCAAATTAATGAATAGATAATTTTATTGATTAATAACAAATTTCATTGAGCTGTAATACTATCTTATTAAACGTAGGTATGTATAAATGTATACAATGCATTTAGTTTGTATTTTTTGGTACTTATCTTAGTAAGTAGTTATTATCATAATATATGCTGTTATATTGTATGACTTTACATAATATATTATGTACATACCTACCAATTTATTTAATGTCATATGATATTTAGTTATTATAATTGCACACTTATAATGGTGCGTCACTGTGTTATGACTTATGTATTATGTGTATGCAAATAGTTTATATTGTATTTGTATACTTAATACATATATGGGTATAGTATAGTAATGCACAATAATATACTACTATATAATATATAAAGTAACTTGTTTATTACATGTA